GAGAATGAGAGTCACTGTGTTATGTTGTAATGCAACACTCAAAAATTGTGCCCCAACATCACCGATTCGATTCAAATACATATTTAGTACGATGAGTGTCTGGATGAATAAGTGTAGGTAAGAATATAGCATAAATAAAAAGAGAATGAGATTTACTGTGTTATGTTGTAATGTAACACCCAAAGATTGTGCTCCAACATCACTGATTCGATTCCGATGCATATTTAGTGTCGTAAGTTTCTAGGTGAAAAAGTGGAAGTACAGATGAAGAAAAAATAGTTAGCTGATGTTACATGAGGCTGGAGAAGTGAGATAAATGTTGTTCTGACCCCGTTTCAGGCCCTGTGGATACTATTATGAATATTTTATGAAATTTATATACGGCGTAGTATTGTGATGATGTGTCGTGAAAATCTGGATAGGAGGAAAGGTTGTTAGTTAATGGAAAATAGTTTGTAAGTCACTTCTGTTCAAAGCAATTGTAAAGCTTAATATTATGTACTCGCACAACAATGTATTGCTGTAAATGTTTTTGAGCGTAGTAAAGTGTGATGTAGCGCCTGATAGTGTCCCGTAAGTAGGATAAAACATAGTCTCTTGTGAATAGTTAGTGGACAGTTTTCGTTCATGTTCACTGGTCAGACTCGTTGTGTCTTTTACATCATAATTCCGTGTGAATATTGATCTGAGTTTTATTGATCGATATGATTCATTTAAGTGAGAATGTATATTGATTTCGATAGTTTCTTTCGATGTCAACATACGATTGTGTTCATGAGGTGACATTGATTTATAAGAAGTGAAAAGTCAAACGATTTATTCACTAATGTGAGACTCATTATGAGTAGAACACGAATACAGACTGAAGGATCGTATGAAAAATATCGGTGACGAGTTATTCTCGAAATTTCGTTCTTGGGAAAGTATTCTTCAGATGAATTTCGCTTGAGAGCAATTCTTTAGGAAAAAAATTTGCTTTAGTAGTATTTCTTGAAGAAATATTCCACCTTGATAGTATGAATCTGATTATTGTTACGAGTCAAATTTCTCTGCATCCACAGCCACCGACACCATCAGTCGCATTTGCTCTTGAAGAAGCATTTGTCGGAGGTATTTCTCAAGGGAATATCAAAGAGGTTATTTATAACAGGATAAACCAGTTTATGGATGGTTTATTTCTTTCGAAAACTGATTTTTATTATTGAAATTTTATTTTAAAAGTGGTGTTTAGATACACGTTAAAAGCAAATAATAATGTTTTGTTCGTTTTTTTTTCGTTGTTATCTAAGCATTGTATATTTATGACATCATATCTTGATTGAAACGTGGAGTATTTAGAAGAAATTAAAAAGAAAAGGAAAAAAGGAATTATTTTTCTCTGACTACCAGGACACTGTTGATATTGTGACAATATAAGAAATGAGGTTTTGGGAAGAGAAAGATGGCTAATGATTTATTTCGGGTAGCAAATAGTTTATTCACGTATATTTTGTTGGAGTCAATGGATAAAAATTAGAACATCATAATAGAAAAATGTTTACCTGATATCTGTCGTAACTATCTACAATCTTGTTGAATCGTTGACATACATTTCTCATTGAACATATAATTGTGAAATCTGATTGATGATCCAAAATTCGGTAGACAAGTTCTACCGGTAATGTAAGGAAGTTGGTGATAGTTTGATTTGCCATTGTAAATTGTTAACGAAATGCGTGCTGCGTCACTTTATATGTTACTTATATATACTGTTCTTTATCTTATCATTAGATGAGTGGATATTTGTTTTGTCTCATAGATTTCACATGATGTTGTAATTACTTGTTGAAAGGAAAAAAACGAAAAAGAATAATACCAGCTAAAAAATGACGGAACCAAGATAACAGCTGTAAGCAACGTTTTTGTAAAGATTGTTTTAGTGAAATAAAATCGTATATAATATACATGAATATTGAGTTCTCAGTTATAATCAGCAAAGTTTAAATGAATTTCTTTTTTATTTCTTTTATTCAAATCTATACTGTTATTTGACCGCGAAATCAAATACATATCTTTCTTCTTATAAGACAATCATACTTATGAATTGAAGAAAACAAAATAAGACCATTACTTTCATATTTGACGAATTCACTACTGTTTGATCTATTGTTCGGCAATTTTGCTTGAAATATTCAGAATATTTTGCTTCATTTATCGAATTTTTTCAGATACGATTATTTATAAAAATATTTATTTTATAATACGAAAACTTGAAAAAAAATGTGCATTTATTTTTATCAGGAATAGCAATATTGTAGGTAAAACCATAAATATAGATTTGATCAACATAAGAACAACCAAATAAAATTGTTTTCATCAAAAAACGTTAATAATTTTGCGAAGTGGTGCTAAAGCTGGAAAATAGCTTTCTCAGTGGTATTTAATAGTAAAAGCTTCCTTGTGATTATTGGAAAATTCTGAAATGGTTTTTTCCATTAGCGCTGAAGGGAAAAAGTATGGCTAATGATAATCAGTGGCGCAGCTAGGGGAAGGCAATTGCCCATTTCATTCGGGGATTTACCTATTAAAATTTTACTTTCTCAAAATTGTTTATTTAGTTTTGAACTAGATTACAACTGTATTTTTTTCTTCCGTTTGAAGCACATATGCAGTCTTTACTTCTTCTTTTTGTGAAGAATTTAGAAAGGAAAGAGCCGCTTCATGTATTTTAATTGTAAGTCTGGGTGAATATGAATTTGATTTTATTGGAGAAACGCTGACCACGTAAAGGTAGAGAAAAACAGAGCGAGTCTGTATCAGCAGCTTCTGCTGAGAGAAGTTTGAGTCAGTTATCGAGAATTAAAAGTTATTGTTAGTCTACAATGAAATAAAATAGGTTAAATGGACTTGCTGCTGCTTAGATTGATAAAGATCTCGATATAAATCCAGATGAAATATCGATTTTGGTATTTGAATTTGAAACATAATTGCTATTAACAGAGCCACTAAAATCGACTAAAAATACACCTAACTCGACCTTTAGACTTGAGTTTAACACATGTTTGATTAAAAGAACCTTATTTCATTTTTTGTGTATTGTCTACGTTATCAGTACATTGTTGCGCCACTGCTCTTGTGTGACATGATACTTTTATTTTCTTATAATTCAACTACTTATATTTTACATATTTATTAATTCAGGCAACACTTTACATTCATGCCTGATATCAATTCTCTATCATAGCCTAAAATAGTTTGATAGCTATGATTTATGATAAACGAAAATATGTATATCATTATATAATATTTATACTTTCAAAACATTGCAAAATTTATTTTATAATAGCTTTTAATATGAATACGTTTTAATCAGTGGTGTTAGAACTATATATATATCCGTTTTTTATCCTTATTTTCCCGGAAAAAACAATAATTTACATATATAAAAAAAATGAAAGTACGTATGAATAAAATATCACTGTCTTAAGATTTATGTGACATATCAAGTGGATGCATATTTCCATGAACTTCTGGTGTATATGTAAAAAGTACAATCAATGTCCATAAATGAAGAAGTATAGCATAAAAAAATACACCAAGACGAACAGCTGGATAACGTTTTAAAAATATTCCCAAACGAATACCAAGTTTATCAATTTCATTAGCAGCTCGTTTAACTTTTTTTGCTATATCAGGATCATATGGTGTTTCACGTAATAATGGTATTCGATAACGAAGATTATCCTCATGATCATTATCATATATTCCATTAGTATCCATATCAATTGCTACTGATGTTCCTGTTTGAAAACGTTTTGATGATTGTTGTAGAGAATTATTTGTTGTTGTTGTTGAAGAAATTTTCTCATAATCATCTAAACGCTTCTCTAAACGTTCTAATTGCATTGTTAAAGAACTTTTATCTGTTTGTAATGTTTCAATAATTGTTTGTTTATGTATTAAAGATTCAGTTAATGTTTGTAAACGTTTTTCTAATTCATCATCATTAACATGATTTATTGATTTAGCTGTTAATTGTAAACGAAGACGTTCCAATTCACGTTCACGTTCATTTAATTGTGTTAAATGCGTTTGTTTTTGTTTATGAGATTCTTCATGCATATAAGTTAATTCTTGTTTTAATTTACGATAATCTTGTTCAGCTAATGCTAAACGTGCACGTTCTTCTTTTAATTGTTCATTTAAATGATTTGTTTGTTCATATAATTGATCATCAGCATGTTGAGTAAGTGACTCAGCTTCTTGAAGTTCACTACGTAGTGTATGAATAGTTACTTCACGTGCTTGTAATTCTTGTTTGAATAATTCATTTTCAACTTTTATTTCTTCATATTGAACATAGGCCCAATTAGAAGGTGTTGATGATGATATAGGTGAACTACCAACAAGATTAACATCCATAAGACTTGAATCGTCATTGGTACTAAGTAAATCCGCGTCTATAAAAATCACAAACAAAAAGAAATGTGCGATTATATATTCATACTATGAAATCTGATCTATATTTGTTTCAGAGAGCTTAATTTTTTTATTATTCATTTACTCGAATACGTAACAGATCAATATTTCCTCACACAGCTGCACTTGTTAAAAAATAAAACAATTCTCAAGATTTTCTATTCAGATTTATAATAATAATTGATATTTAACATACCAGATTGATCTCCACTTGAAGATGTGTTAGTTCTATGTTGTACAATTTCTTTAAGTTTAACAATTAATTTATCTTTTGTTTGTAAAATTCTTTGTGCTTTAGCTTTATAATCGTTCATATCTTGTTCTAATTGATGAATTAAATTTTTGGCATGTTTTGTTTGTTGTTGTTGTTCATGAATTTGAAAACGTTCATCATTTAAACGTTTTTCAGCTGCTTTTAGTTGTTCAAGTAATTGTTGTCGTTCATCATTTGAACGTTTTTCGAATGAATGTTTTTCTTCAATAAGACGTTCATTTTCATTTGAACGTTGTTGTACTTCTTGTTCTAATTGTGTTATACGTGATTGTAAAGAATCAAATGCTTGTGATTGTATACCAGATGAATCTGTATGATCTTGTAGTATACGTGCACATTGACTTTGTAATTGTTCACATTGAGAATTTTTTGTTTTGGCTAACTCATCGGATTCAGCTAAACGAATACGAAGTAATGCTATTTGAGAATCTTTTGCAGATAATGCTTCAGATGCATCTGTATCACGTGAACGTAAATCACGTAATAATGCATCAGATTCTGCTATCTGATGTTGATGTTGAATCTGTTGACGTTTATATGTTTGTAAATCATTTTCACATTGACGTTTATCACGCATCAAAGTTTGAATTTCAGTTTGAAGTGAAGTAATAATTTCATCTTTAAGGCTTGATGATGGATTTGAATCAATATCAGTGTTATTATTAGGTGTGTCTTGTGTTGATGGAACATTCTATATAAATAAAATATATAAATAGATTAATAATAAAGATTGTCCTTCTTCTTCTTACTAGAACAAGACCTTCATCTTCATCTTGATATTGTACGGCAGGTGTTATTGATCGTGGTGTATTTGAAGCTGATTTTGATGAAGATTGTTCCGTAGTTTCTGATATATCATCAACAAGCATGTTAGGTGAACTAGAAGTACGTGTTGTATCATTGAATACATTGTTCAATGGTGCATTACGATTATTTTTATTATTTACTGATGTTGGAGTATTAAGATAGTCGATAAGATCGGTATCGTTTGTTTTTTTCGAACGACGATTGCCAGTGTTTAATCGATTTATTGAATTTGAATTTGAAGTTGATTTATTTGATGTATTTAATGGAGAAGAATCTAATGCTGATTCTTCATTTGATTGTTGTGATGTTGGTTTTATAGCATGTTGATTAATTGCTGCATTTGTTTGTTGATCAACACGATTGAGAATATCTTCTGCTTGTTTTAATAACCAAGACATATTTAAAATGTAACGTTACAGTTTAAATTGATATAGACTAACGATACTGAAAACAAAAAAATAGGTGTGTATAAAAAGTGCCACATAACAGAACAGCAGAAAATGACTCATCAAAAAAAACTAATTTAGTTATATTAACCAACTGACTGACAGCAAATAGATGTCTCTCATGTATTTTGAAACAATATGAGTATATAAGAAGATATGGCGAAGTATCAGAAATGTTATCTACTATTTAAAATGAAGTTATAACTAGTAATAAGCCCTCTCAGGTATCAGACTTACTGGATTTTGGAGTACTATCAGTATCCTAACAGGAGAAGATGCGCTCTTGCGACATGCAAAATAATTCGATTTTCTATGTTGGAATCAAGTTAGAAATGATATCCAGTGATATTCCATAGATTACTTTTCTGACAGCTCTCGATCGAAAATGGCTATAAAAAGTTATTCGTTGAGGCGTAGGACTGAAAGGGTTAAATGAATAAAATATGTTATTTCGTCATCTACTTTTTCTTCTTGTTTCAAAACAACCTTCAATAGTTGTGTATATAACACAAAAGATACAGATCGCTGCAAGATCTTATGATTAAGAATGTATTTTATTTATTGAAAAACAATCGTTTATAATTCTTTAAACACCAATTCGTACAGTTATTGTCTTATCACTAGGAAAATAAAGCGAATCGATATTTAATACTATATTTGACATTCGTTTATTTTCAATCCAACAAGTCGAACCGATTTGAAGTGGACATATGAATGTAACTTTTGTTATACAAACAAATGTAAGTAAACGTAAATCATTATCAACAATTTGTTGATGTTGTTGACAAGATAAATTTTCCATATGAAAAAAAGTTTCTAAATTATTTTTATCATCATTTATAATTAATACATTTGCTTGTTGAATAATATTATTAATCTTAGTATTACATAATATTATATCACTATTTGAATTATAATAAATCAGTGTTTCAAATGCGAGTGAAAGTTGAGTACCATTTTTTAAATTAGATTGTTGATCAAATGAATAAAATTTTGTACCGTTAAACCATTGAAATGAATTTGTTATTTCAAATAAAATTACTCCAAGACCATAACTAATTTCATTACCTGTATATACATATATACCTGCAATGTCTTTTTGAACATTTCGTAATATTAATGTTCCATGACATTGATCATAAATATTTAATGATACTGAAGAATTAAGTTGATTTTCAAATAAATAACAATTCACTTGTTTATTTATATTTTGTTTAAATAGATGACGATTTTTATGATCTATACCATCTCGATCATTATATAATGGAATTTCCATCGGAGAATCTAAACGAAGAATTACAACAGCTGGATCTTGATTTATTTGTGATATTGCTTTAAGCCATACTTGAATTTGATTTGTTGTTAACATAGACAGAGTGATATCATTATTAATTCCATCAATAGAAATCACACAGCAATGAAATATCCAAACGAAAAGAGAAGTAACAAGTATTATCATGATATATTTTTATAAAAAATGACTTTGATTTTATTCGATTAACTGTAAATCCTTTTATTGGGATATTTGATACCTCTGTTAATCGATTTTATATATATATATATATCATACGAGAGAAAAATATTATATTTTTCTATTTTTTTTTAAATAGGATACAACATTGAATTAATACATTTCCAGAATAAAAATACAAATAAATTCATATTATCAATAAAAATTTTAAATGAAAACAAACATCATTACGCATTATCTACATGAATATGACCAGAATTAAAAACTATATTTAATAACAAAATTAAACTAGTTTTTAAGTCAGGATAAAATTTCTGGTGCAGCACATTGATCTATAACTTCAGTTATATCTGCAATTGAACGATAGTAACGACCACCTGGTATAATGGTAGGATAATAAGGCTAAAATAATATAATATTAAATTAACGAAAATAATAAATCATCAAAAAGTTTGTTCACTTTTAATTCACTAGAAGATGTTTTCAATGAATCAAAATATATGAAATTCAAGTACAACTTTACGTTCTTTTCGATTAAGAATCTATTTTTATTCTGAAGTAACGAGAAACTTGTCAAAAAGCTTGAAATATGATTTCTAAATACTCTACCTAATCTCTTTTCAAACATACTAAAGATTGTGTTGTAAAGTCAATATTTCTCTACAAGATTTGGTATTGAACTAAATTGAAGCTATCACTCAATTCATATTATTAACATTTTATCAAGAATCTTGTTCAAAGTCAAATGCTTTTTTGTCTAGTAATTTAAACTTCTAAATTTTGATTCGTTAGAAACACTTTAAAATGAATTCAACGTGACGAAACATTTCGATTATCTGTTGAATTACATATGATTGAGAAATTGAATTATTATGATCTGTTGAGATATTTGATCTTGAACTAGATACTTGGTCTTGAACGTAACGGTCTGGATCTTCACTTCTATATGGTGACTCACTGCTACTTTTTACCTAGAATACATACATCATTAGTGATAAGAATTTATTATTATTTGTTATAAATAATAGATAAATAACATTTTTATAGTTCAATCAATGTATGAAGCTAGCTGAATTTTCAGAAAAAAAAGTTATTTGTTATTTATAACAGAACACTAACAATAACTTCTCATCTCTGTACTCATTCATACTAATAATGTACGTAATATGCCTTACTTGTTTGTATCTTTTTTTACCATTACATATTTTTCGTCGAAAACTAAATATTGAAGGATATCATAAAACATTATTCAATTACTCAATTACTCACAAATAGATAAGACCAGCGATAAAAAGTAAAACTACGACGATAGCAATCACAATAATAAAAAACTTATTTTGAAGAAACCATTCTTAAATAAAAGAAAATAATATTATTTTTACAAATGAATTTTGTTTTCGAATATCTTACCTAGTCTGCTTAATGTTTTTATTTCTTGACATTCGGCAACGCCGTCTGGATCAGAATATATCTGTCGACATTTCATGCATATATGATACATAGAATCAGGCGAAAGATTATCAATTAAAATATTATTTCGATTTGATTCAACAACTGTCCATGTCTGAAGAAGAAATACAAATTCTAAGATGATTATTTTGTGTATTTTTATTTAATTTACTTGATTGCTTGTCGCAGTGAGCTTTGGTATAACAGTCTTTTCACAAAATGCTGATGGATTTAGAGATGTAATGCTCATTTCAACTTGATTCGATGATATAGCTCGAAGATTAAATCTCGGTTTTATTCGAAAGACTAAATCAATAGAATAATTCAAATCATTTTATTAGAAAGAAAGGGAGTAAAACAATATTTCGTAAGAATTTTTGAGACATGAGTCAATAAATCACCATAAACCATTGAAATTTTTAATATTTCACAACTGTTTGATTTAAATGAAAAGTTTTAGTTTTATATATCAATTTCTTGTTCTCCGGGAAGAATTGAAAGTGACTAAACTGATTTAGATATGATTTATGAATATTTATTTTGAAAGATTAAAATCCAGTCCTTTTTTTGCACTAGTTGTAAAAACTACAATTTTATTTAATAGAATTCCTTTTACAAATGGTCTCGTGTATGGTTTCTTTTTCAATTAAAGAAGTGTCGATTTTAATTAATATAAAACTCATTATTTAGATTAAATTGAAAAGAAAAATTTTTCTTTTATATAACTCACCTGGAGTCATATCGAAATTATAAGATGATGGTTCGAAATGTGGTAACATTGCTTTCATTTGCATTCGTACTCCACTAGGAAACTCTCCGTCTACTGCTGGTTGCCATTTGAATATTAAATTTTCATAATTACTTTCATTTCTTAAGAATTTAAATTGTGGTCTGTAAGCCATATGCTCAGGACTTGAAAATATAAAATAAGTAATAATTATTTTATAAGTATTACAATCACTTACGAATTAGCAGCTTCTTTAAACTCAAATCGTACTGGAAAATCATTTTGAACAGCACGTGCTATTGTCGGTGCTCGAATTACACATTTAATGTATTGTCTGTCATAGACGCGACATTTTTCAGCAAGTTGAAGTACGCCCGGTGCAGCTAAAAAGGACATGTGTGGGTTTTTTTCGTCTATATCAATCAGACATACATTTATAATGTGAAAGGAAAGAAAAGTAAAATATTTTATATACTCATGAAAGTGATATCAGTAAAAAGGGAGAGAGACAACGTTATTTCTTTACCTACGACAATAATATCAGCGCGAGTGCCTTTACTCTGTTCGCCGTTTGAATAACATAGCAAATAGAATATTCCAACATAATTTGTCGATTCAAGTCGAATATGAATCGCTGTTGTATTTAAAGGATTGGTGAATAGTTTTATTTCATTCGATGAAATATTTTTAGATAAACTTGCTTCTAACGATGAATTATTTGTTTGATAATTGAAACATGTAAAATTAACAGTACTCGTAGAATTTAGAATGACTATATGAGGTCCTAAAAAATAAAAAAATAAAGCTTACAAATTCGGAATCTATATAGAAAAATATTCATACTTATTTCTATGTCTGTTGGACGGAATTCAGTTGTAATTGTTTCAGTATAACAAAAATTCATTAGAATAAATAAGATTAAAATGAACAATGATCGACACTGGTTCTGTTTAGTAAACATTTCTTTTTATGACATGAAAAGCAGATTAAAAGACTTGTTGTGCATGTTAACGTTTTTGTTTTTCGCGGATAAAGAAGGAAAAAAAACTGTTTTTGATCAAATTTTACCCTTCGTAGAAATTAAACTTTGTGTTCTTGGAAACAAAACATTTAACTAACCAAAAATAAGTATATTGATGATAAATGCATATAAATTATAGAATAATTGAAAGCCAAATAACTTTAATAGGCTAGAATATTAATTAATATCATTGAAATTCATAATTATAAGCTAAAAATTGTCGCATGGGCCTCGCAAAACACAACGATTGTCGGTGAAAGTAAATATGCGTCATGTAACTTGGCAGAAGACGAGGAAGAAGAGAAAGAAGAAGAAAAAATAATCTGTACTTTTTTTTTCTTAACCCAAGAGAAAAATGTAAATGAAAGTGTTTGTTTAGGAAAGAGAGAGAATATATTTCAAAATCAAAATTATCGATGAAATATAAAAAGAAACTATTTGCTAAAAGAATTTTACCCTAAGATATATATAACTATTATCTTTTATACATAAAAAAAAACCTGAAAGATCTATCCAAGGTTATCAAATTAATTTCATCTGTTATAGTTAATTTTATTCAAGAGATTTTTCCCCATATAAAATAAAAAGAAGACTTTGCAGTTTTTTTACAGGTTATTTAAACACAAACCATTGACCTAATATGTTTACTTTGTCATAGAATGATTTAAAAAAATATTATTTTCGTATTATTATTTTGTCCCATTAGAGTATGTTGGGAATAATTACTAGGCACCATAAGAAAATGCGTAATATTTGTCTTTCTACGAAACTGATTTGCTTAGTGAAACAGTAGATACTTCAACTATTTTTAAAAAACGAAACAAACAGTTCTTACTGTACAGATGAAAAGAAATGTTACTAATAACTTTCGAAATTCTTTTTCTTTGCTGTTGGAATAAAACTACTCATTGAGCAGGGCCGCTCGAACAAAAGTTTTGTCATTGAAACATAAGGCTTCCTTTCTCTTTGCATTATAGATGACATAGAAAAGAAATTTCTCAAGTTTTTTTTTCTCTTACTCATTTAAACAAAAAGTATTCTTGAATTGATGAGAAAAGAAAAGACACTTATTGCTTACATTAAGAATATCCACACTTCTGTATATTGTTCAAGAACAAGTTCAATCAAATATATGACATTTATTTTTTCTTTATAAAATAAATCTGGACAATAATATTTCATATTTATTTGTCTTAACTTTCCTAATTGACAAATGTGATATACGCTTAATAACGAGAAAATATTTTCTTTATAAATAAAATAATAAAAAATTGAAAGACTATTATTATATGTCAGATCGTGAGAAATGAGTATCGTAATTTGTTTGTACTTGTATATATTCAATAACGCGTCCATGACCAATACTCGTCAATTCATTATCTTCAGGTTGCTTCTAAAAAATGACTTGCTTAGAAATAGACAATTTCTTACTACAGAAAAATACGTACAATACAAAATATACATAATAATTTTTCTCTAATCCAAGCACAATTCCGTCTTCGACAAAATCTATGAAAAACAAAAATTCGTTAAAAATGAAGTAATATGTCCTTGAAATACTTACATTATATACAATATAATGATTGAAAGACAACAGATAATCGTAGTAGTGATTATATTAACCATCTTTCTTGTGAGCCAATCTAAATAGAATATTTTGGGAAAAAAAAGTGTGTCAAATATTTGAAAGAAAAAAAAAATATACGTGATTCTTCTAAAGTTTTATAACGATAACATTCAGTGTTGCTAATCGTATCAATTGATGAATCACGACGACAATGAAAACATATTTGATACCAAGTATTAGGATTTAAATCACTTACATAAATAGCTTCATTAGATTCATCAAATGTTCGAATATCTTGTTTCTATAATAAAGGAAAATAGATAATTATCAAAAAAGTAAAATTTTTATACTACATTTGAAGTTTGAATTTGTTCTTCGTTAGTTAAATTTCCATGACAAAACGATAATGACGAAAACTTTCCATAATTAAATTCAATTTTTAAATCAGTAGAAGATATAACTGGAACTGTAAAATTCGATGATATATTGTAAACTATTTATCAATAAACAAAAATAATATTTATCGATTATTTTCTTTTACAAAAACAAAAAAGTTTATTACTTGGTGTCATATCCATTGTATAATTACTTGTACCAAAATGATGTATTGTTGCATAGACAACCATTTTTAATTTTGGTGGGAATTTTTTAATAGATTCTGGAAACCATCGATATGTCAAAGTTCCATTAATCGGATTCATTTCTACTAATTCAGGTTGAAGTTGATAAATTCTCTTTTGGTAACTAAATAAATCAAAATGAATTATTTTAGGTATGAAAAGAACGATCTACTAACGACAAAATACGTTCAAAAAAATTAATTTCATAAGGTAATTTATTAGTAATAGCTTGTACCATTATTGGTGCTATTATTGTACAATCGATATATGTATCATAATATACAATACAACGTTTTGTACGCATTAGTAATCCAGGTTCTCCTAAAAAATATGTGATCATAGATAAGAATAATACAATTATATTACACTTGCTTACTGCCAATTAGAATATTTGAGCGAGCACTGAGATTTCGTTCTCCTGTTGACGAACATGTAAGATAGAATGCGCCTATATAATCCAATGATTGTATAATTATTTCAGTAGCAGTGTTATTGAGACGATTAATTGAAATTTGTACATATTGCGACGAAATTTTTGGTAATAAATTAATTTCAAATCCTCGATAATCATCTTTTTCTTTAATACATATGAATTTGGTTGTGCTGCTCAAATTTAATACTGCCAATTCTGGTTCTATTAAAAAAACAAATAGAAAATTGTCATGTATATTATACTAATAATATAATCTTACGTATATAAATATTCGAGACATTACATTTGAAAGATTGAAAGAATAAAAATATGAATAGTAATATAGTAATCAACGCTTTCATAATCAAAAAATCAATGATTAAATGATTTTTTTTCCCTGTGATTCAAAAGTTCGAATACAAATATTTCATTTGTGGAAAAGAACCAACTTTTACAGATAAACACAATGTTGTCACGCCGATTTTTTTAATATTTGAAGAAAGAAAAAAACAGTTATTATTGCACCAAATACTTTTTTTACTTTTGCATATGTATTATATTTTTATTCAGTTTCTTTTACTATAGTAGGAATAAAAATATGCATAATGTAAAAAGAAAACATTGCAAAGCTACAAATGAATTACACATATAAAATGAATGGTTTCAATGAAAGGTGAAAAAAAAATACAGAATGAATCAAACTACTACTTTGTTTTTCTGTTTATAAGCATGTCATTTTTTTTACTAATAATTACCTCAACTCAAGTATTTTGTATTACGATCACTCATCTCCCCTCCCTCAAAAACCGATCTCAGTTCGTATACGTTCAAATAGAATGATATTTCAAGATACGTTAGGACTATAATAGAGAAGCTATGGTGAATTTTTAGGTGGATAGAACGACGTTTGAGGGAAGATATCGACCGAACAGAGATGAAAAATAGTTCACTTGTGAGTACAAAATTCTCGGTTCAGACTCATTCTATATATTGAAACTTTTTTTGTTTGAAAGAGCATGTCAAAGTGCCGAGTATGATGGAGTTCTGTTTTTGCAATTCTTATTTTTTATTTGAAAGAGGACGTCGTAAGTTGAAGGGCTTAGAAACTCACTAAAAATGAACATCTATTTTATACAAGTATCTATATATTTATTTTAAAAAAAATAATTTATCATGCGTTGTATCTTAACACGTTCTTTCAAAAAAAAACTTAAATATATAAAAATGAATCTGAATAGAGAATTTTGAGTCCCACGATAGAAAAAAGGACATTTTTTTTTCGTTTTCTCCCTTACTATAAACATACTTGTTAACAAGTGGTCAACAAAAATCGTCTATTTTCCCATGTACTCATCTCAATTTAGAAGTTTTCCACGAAAATCGTATTTTTTCAAGGGAGGGAGTAGTCTTAAGAGAAACATACTTTACAACAAAAAATATTAAAACTAAAAATAATTGATTCGAAAGCTTCTCCATTGAGACATCAGTTAAGAAATAATAGTGCTCACTTAATCAAACATTAGAAGTACGATGCACAGTTGAGTGTTATGTGGAAATCATATTTATTTAACTAAGAGAGAAATGAAGTAAGAAAAAAGATTTGTATAGTATTCATTACAGTAACAACTACAAAGATTAGTGATATATGAAAGCCAGGGACGTTTCAAATGTATCTATAGTAAATATTATACAGTATCAATCCGTTGAAACAAGTGTAAATTAAAATTTTTGAATAATAGAAATATGAAATACTCTAGAAGTTTCTCAGTCTATTCATATCATTAATATATTAATAGAACTAATATTTTTGTGAACATCACAGTTTATCCATGTCTTTTTTTGGAACTATCATGAAATATAAATATCTAAAGTATATTTGCAATGATAAGATAATTTCAAAGTATAAGAACTGAAAAATTTTGATAAAAAGAAGAGAAACATGTCATAGGAACTAAAGCTTAATTAGAACATGTCTATATTAAAGAAAAGAAGAAGAATATCGACGTCATCAGTAACGTATACTCAAAGAATGTACCTATGTATTTTAATAAGGTATGAATGTACTGTTCAATCTTTTTCTCTTTTGATCTTCTTTATCAACTTCATAGCCAATACGCATAAATACTACAGAAAAAAAAACTCATTTCTATGGTCTATAATCGTATCAAATAATATCATTTTCCATTTAGTTTTCACATATAAAAAACCTTTTTCTTTCATATTTTGAAAGTTACGTAAGAAAAAGAACAAAAGCAACTTTCTATTATTCAGGTATAGATATGCTTATCAACAAACGTCTGTCAAGATTTACAATAGTTATGAGAGTATCTTTTCTTTTCCTTTTCTACGCTGAAATAAAACACACTATATATGGACGGATTTCAACATCCATATAATTTTACAGCTGGAGAAGCAATTAAAAAATGGCGAACATTAGTTGCAAATGATGGTATTCTACTCGAAAGAGAATTTAATGTTTGTTTTTTGAAATTATATTCAATGAATTATCTTATTTTCCATATTTAGGCTCTTCAAAAATTGGATACCAATCGTATAACTATTGCAACAAATCCAGTTAATAAATCTAAAAATCGTTATGCATTAGTTTATCCATGTAAAATAAATATAAATCATTTTATTCATCTTTTGTATTTATTATTTTAATTTAGACGATGAAGATTATTGTCGAGTTTGTTTAAAGAAAGAAATAAATGATCAATCTAATGAGCATTCAGATTATATAAATGCATCAGTTATTTGGTCTATTCCACCAGTATGGAGTAAAGAAAATAATATAATTCAAGATATGTATATATATATAATTAAATCTAGAATCAAATATCCACAGTACCCCCTTCAAGATTCTTTTATGCAGCTCAAGGTTAACGAAATAATTATTAAAATTATGTAGATTGATTTATATTTTCAGGGCCTAGTGAGCAAACACTTGATGATTTCATACGAATGATTGTTGAGCAACAAATATCCGTAATTGTTATGCTTTCATATACATATGATCCCATAACATGTACTTATGCAGTTAGTGAATTATCTACATTTTCCTATTTGTATTAAATCTTTTCTATACATAAAAAAAAAACTTAGCATGAACATGCAGCATATTTTTCTGATAAAATTAATGCTGTTATTGAAACGAAATCATATACAATTCGTACAACATCTATTATTCCAGCATATCGTTATATTGGACGACGTTTACGTATTAAGTCTAAAGTAAAGTAAATTAAAAGAATTAATAAATTAAATTAAATTCATTTAGTTAACAGATGTTGTACATAATTGTGAACAATTACATTATCCTCATTTTATGGATAAAGGTATACCATTAGATTGCCATTCAATAATTGGTTTAGTAATGAGATTACGTGAACCTATGAATCGACATCATCGTGTACTTGTTCATTGCAGGTTTGAAAATTATCTTCAACTAGTAATTTTTTTATTTCGAATTATAATTACTTGACAATTTTGTAGTGCAGGTATTGGTAGGACAGGTGTATTTATAGCACTTTATTATTTGATGGGAGCTTTTGAACGTCAACAGATATTAAATGTTAAAAAAATAGTTGATACAATTCGTCTTTATCGAGCACATCTTGTTCAAACAGTTGTAGGATCTATTAATATTTTTTGAATAAATTTGTATTTAATTTATAAATTTCTATTAGGAACAATATGAATATATATATCGATGTTTAGCTGCAGTAGCTATACATCCTTGTGATGGTCGAGGTTTAGATACATTTATTGAATATTATAAGAATTTATTACCAACAGCTCGTATAGAAAATAGTATAATCTATGATGATTATGAAGTAATTTTTCTTTCGTAAATGATGTTTTACTTTATACTTCTATTAGAATCGTAATAATCGTATTGAATCAGATCGATATCTAACAACAATAACGGCTGAACAATATTCCAATTGTAATCGAAATCAATTATTTATTCCATGTATAAGGATTGAGTTTTATTGAATTAATAAAAATGTACTTGTCTTATTCTAGATGATCAAAATCGTGTTATACTTCATTCACCTAGTGAATCAATGTATATCAATGCATCAAATATAACAGTAAGACTAGATTTTCGATAGATTGATTGAGTTCGTTTTCTTTTTCTTGTTAATTACTAGAATGTAATAGGACCGAGTGGTACAATATTAACACAAGAACCGATGCAATCTACATTACAACCGTTCTTTTCCATGATCTTACAAGAATATAAGAAATTTATTGTTGCTGTTGAACAAGTTATTCTTTTTCTTCTGTTAAAAATAAAGAATTTATATTTATTTATAATTCTAGTTAGAAAAATCAAATTATACACAATCAGAATTTGTTAGTTCAAGTGGAATAAAAGTCGATATTTCAACTGTTAATCGATCAAAACATACATTTGGTGATTATTATAAATCACATAAAATACAAATTAAACATGTTAGTTAATTATTTATATTTCCAATAAAATGTCTTTTTTTTGTAATTTAAAGAATACTGTACGTGAAGCAGATATATTCATTTTTGAATATACTGGTGAATGGACAAATGATAATACATATTTACCAACAAATCTCGAACAATTTGTTCGTTTTGTTGATCGAGCAATTTATCATCAACGTAAACTTGATCTTAATCGACTTGGTCTTATTGTTCATGATCGGTTAGTTAAAACCTTTTAAAGACACCGGATATATCTCTTTCAAAGTACTTCATTTTCGACAAAGAGCCAGTAAATCAAGCAAATTATCATTCATTTCTATAAAAATATTTTGTTCTCAATAGAAAATCTGATAAAAGAGTCATAAAAATGAGCATTGCTGTTTTTTTAGTGATGGTGGTACAAAAGCAGCATTCTATTGTATAGTTCAAAATATATTCGATCGTTTATTAATCGATGGTCGAGTATCTATTGAAAATTTTGTTACTGACATTTGTCAACAACGAAAACATGCTTTAATGTCCTTGGTAAATAGATATATGTTCTTATCTAATAGTTCATTTTTATTTATAATTAGGAACAATATATTGCGCTTCATCAAATTGTTTGTATTTGGAATAATTTAAAAAATCGAGGAGCTTTGGAATGCCTTATTAACAATACTTCTTTTTAAGATAAAAAAAATAATCTGTTGCTTTTCTTTTTTTAAATTATAAATGAAATAAACTTTTATACACAAAAATAGTAAATAGATGACCACTAGCGTCTTCTTTCGAATCTCATTAATCTATTGGTTATTTCAAATATTTTGAGGGAACAAAGAAGAACAAAATTGAAAGTCTATGAACGAAACATTTTTTTTTTTGAGGAAATAAAAACGAAATGAGTGAACTTAAACGTCTTTTTGGTTCATTAGAAAATGCTGAATTAGCACATCATGCTCAAATCGATGAAGAACATTCATTGATTCTTAATCAATTACATGCACTTAGTGCACATAGTCATATGGTTAAACATAAATATTTGACAACTATGAAAGATACATTTGCTGGTTAGTTTATTCTTGTGAATGAATATTATTTCTATTCTAAAATTCTTATTCTATAGCAAATCTTGCACGATATCGTGATGAAGATCTTCGTGTACGTAGTACAAATCTAATTAGTAAGTCAATTTATTATTTCATTCGAAAAGTTTATTTTTCTTAATTTTAAATTAGAAGAAAAAACTATTCAAGTTAAATGGCCAATAACTGATAATAATGAAAAACAAAATGAGAATCTTTTATTATTACAACAACTTAAAAATTTCGATACTGAAAATAATATTCCACCTGCATTGATTATTAATAATAATCAAGCACATTTAATTGATAATTTTCAATTAATTAAACAACGTTATTCATCATTAGCTGATTTTAATTTATCTCGTGGTATGTTTTATTATATTTGATTCGTTTCTCTTTTATTTTACAATTAAATTTAAGATGGTAAACAATTACAAATTACATTCAAACCACATAATGTGTTTGTTGTATTGGAAACAATTCATAATGGTCGAAATGGAGAAAGTTGGAAAAGTAAATTATATTTATATTAATACTGTAAAAAACTACAAAAATCTATTTTTAGTTATTGATTCAATGCCGGGTCTTCCATCCTTTACTCAACTTAATACAATGATTCGACAAAGCAATAGTCTTACAGCTGAACATTTATGTCTTATACGAGCATGTTTACTTAAACAACAAGAAATGAATAAATAAATAATATGAAAATATTTTTTCATTGTACAAAGAAAGAAAAATAAAACATCTATCATATAATATGTAAATAAAATAAATATCATCGTGTTTTCTTTTATATGACAAAATAAGAACAAAAGATTTCGATTCTTTTGTAAACTGTATAATCAATAATTCCATATTGTAAATTTCTTTATATGATCGAAAATAGGACATCAATGAAAATTTAATTGTAATAAATCAGACAATCGTTATTAAATCAAGCTATACAATATTTGTCTCTTACTAGTAAATCGAAACAAGTGTATGAGACTATAGATTATTAAAACAGTCTAGATGTAAAATTTTTCATTTGTCTTAATATTTAATTTTCTTTGAAACTATTTCCCAATTGAATATCCAACGTAGATATTCTTCGATGTTTATGTATAGTATAATAGTCTATTGATTCAGTTGATAATTAGATAGATCTCAAAACTACATGTAGTACATGTGTTTGGTATTGTTTTAAACAACGGAAAGAGTTTGAATTCCATCTGCAAACAAATGATTGCATCTGGTTGCACTTTTAGCATTAAAAAAAGTCACGTATTACATGGCTTATAAAAAAGTATAAGTTTAATATTTTTGAAAGCATTCCTACCAACACTGATATTTTTTAAGATAAATATCATATTTTTCTAGTTAAAAATTTAAAAGAATGATTAGCAAAGAGAACATTCTAAAAATGAGAAGTATGGTTTTTTGATTTCTTTTTATTATATCATACGTTAGACAATCATTTATTTATCGTTTGCCTGATGTTGTTATCAGAGTATTGCCATGATCATTTCTCATTTAAATATAGTATATTTTCTATATTAGAGAACAAAAGAACACACTTCTTGCATTCCATTCATGTATTGAACTTAAGCGACATCTGATCTAGCTTTACAAATAATTAAAATCAAGCAAATATATATATTACTTCAATATATTATTCATAATCTAATATTTCTTTTTACATTTAAAACAAATATATATATATTACAATGATTGTTTTTCATATAAATTTACTACAAAAACAATGTCTTTATTATATATTTTGTAAAATAACAAAAAGAAATGATATTATTATATTTCTTTCATTTGTTTACATGTTTTTAAGATTGTCATGAACTATGAAAAACAGACTGCAGCAGTTAACAGTACATAAAAAATATAATTTTTTAGACCAATAAAAAAAATAGGAGATGAGTGAGACTATATATGTCAAAGCCCATTAAAAGTGCAAACGGAGAAAAAGAGAATGTTATTTGTCGTTGTTGCTTCCATTCCAGAGAAGGAAAAAAAGAAAACCAGAATACAAACAGAATAGAGGAATCTGGCAGAAAAAAAAGGAAGGAACAAAAAAACTACTGAGAAAGAAAAGCGTATAGAATATAGAAAACAAATAATCATTCGCAACACACATGACAGAATCAACAGCAATGGCGTCGAATGACGATGACGAACCACTTTTAAATACAATAGTAGATAATTCTACTACTAGTAATCGTCGATGTCCAACATGTCAAGGAACAGGTTCAGTATCAACATCACCTGGTCTTGTTGCCTTAATTCCAGTTGATGATGTTCGACTTAAACGACGGCATACATTTTTGTGGATAGTATTAACAATATTTTTTTGTACACTTATAGCCTTGGCAGTTATTGCAACTATTCTTCCACGTTCTGTACATTTATCTATAAAAAATCCAATTGTTATCGATGCTACAGATGATTCAGTACGTAATTCAACTGATTATCGTCTTACATTTATACATCAATCAAATATTCAATCAGATAATTGGGTACCTATACGTTTGATTAATTTAACAACATTAGTTGAACATCAACTAGTACCAATTGGTCCAAATGCACAAAAAATATATAGTCATCAAATGTATTTACGACCATTGGGAACAATACAATCTAATCTTACTGTTCAACTTGATTTTAATGAAAATTCCATGGCTTATCGTGCTTGTCAAGGAATATTTCGACAAATGCTTTTATTTAAAGTACAAACGATATTAACTTATGCAGATTTTCTTCTTGGCCGCATTCAAACAACTAATAATGTTTCTTATCAATATGTTTTATGTAATAGAGGAGAATGGAAACCACATGAAACTGTTTTAGTAAATATGACAACAAGTAATTCAATGAAAATTTAATATTTATTATTGAACAAAATATAAGATGATGACTCATTTTTAAAATTTATTTTTCTCATAATTCATTTGCTTTTTTTATTCGACATTTAAAGTTTTTGCTGAAGTTTTACTATTAATAAAATAAATCAATAATAAATACTTGATATGAAACCGAATATATATATTTTTATCATGATTTTTGTACAATATCTTTTCAATCTTTCATGTTTTTAAAGTATTTTATTACATTAAACAATACACGGGGATTGAATTTCATTCATTAACTCGAGAATACGAAAATACTCAAGTAGAATTTACTTGTTTGTATTTCAGTTATACAAACAAGCCAAGAATTTTTAGAAATCATTTGAATTATTTAATTAAAAGGCAGTCAAGAGTAAGAGCCTGCTAGAGGATCATCAGAAAAAAAACATGTTTTGTTTGATTTACTATTCTCAAATGAAACATTTAGTTAAGCTACAGTGAAATTCAGAATATTAGATTCCTTGGCATTGTCTATAAGAAAATGCGACCTAAATCAAATTCAAAGGTTATAATGACACTATGAAAGGTTTGATGTGTCTCATTTAATAGAGAATACTTTAGATTACAATTTTATTTTGGTTAAGCCCCCAAGATCTAGATTAAAAATTATAATACATCAAAAACTGTCTCATATTCAAATAATAGTTCTTGTTAGAATGGTAGTATGTTGTACTTATTCCTGCATGCTGCGAAAGACCTCAAATTTCTTTTTTTCAGTAGACACAAATCCCATTGAGACACATCCTTGAACATGACATTGTTCGAATTAGTAAACTTACGGATTAAGTTTACATAAGTATATAACTTATGCGAACTTGAATATAAATTGAAGTTACAAAAAATAAATACTGCTGCATTATTTATCTATTACGCAGAATACTTTTCCTTTCTAACATATTGATTGTAATCATATATAACCTTAATTTGTACAGATTAAAAGTTCTGTTAGATATGAGAAAAACAAAGTCAAAGTTGATGTTTTGCCGTAGTATTGTTTAATGAATCTTGACAATTTCTAAATATTAACAGTTGTATTTGTTCTGTTTTATAATTTAAAATTTTACAAAATTAGAAACTTCATTTTAATATAATTGTGAGAATTATCATTGAGACACAAGTTTCCAAGAGCACCTGTTTGGAGAACCTCATTTTTCCTATCGTTATAAATCTTACTTTTGACTTCATTTAAAATCGTAAAAATAAATTACGAATACTTTCTGAAGCCTTTATGTTACCACTTGTCGCCTCTAAAAAAATATTTTTATTCATTCTGTAGCATTTACAAAGAAAAATATTTGATTATACTTAAAAAATTTCGAGTAATAATTTTTACGAGAGATTCCATAATATCATAATAAATTCATGTATATAAATCTGAAAGATTTAATGAATAGTATCGAAATTTTTCAATCACCTTCAAAAATCTTATAGAAGTATGAAACGTGAATAGAGTATGATTGAACGAACTTTAAATTTTCGAATGTTCTAAGATAACTGAAAAAATGTAATGATATTTTGTTTGAACAACTCATTAGATAGTTGCGTTCGTTCTCTTTTTCTAATTTTCCATTGGAAATTGCTGTACATTGTATATGCATTCATCCGAGACACATTGATAAATGAAAGCATGCAATGTGTATATAACCTTCTTCGTCGTCAAGCGTGGTTTTTACAATGACGTTATCGAAAAATAAAACATTTCGATATATAGTTTTATTTTTATTTGGATTAATTTGTATAAATTTTTTTATACTTTCCAAATTGTTTCCAATCGCAGATAGTCGTGATGATGATGTAAAACAATATGATAGCGTACAAGAATCATCATGGACATATACAATGAAATATTTCTATTTCAAATTTCAACAGCGTATTGAAGATGAAAAAATAGTTGAACATAATATTAAACTTACATTACCAAATTATAATAATTATACTAGACAACAATTTACAGAGATTCCGTATCGTTATTCTTCTTGGCGTTCTTCACCAAATTTAGCTCGACGACTTACTTCATTTGATCATTACATATATACAGAATTGCTTATTATTCTTGATCATTTCTTTCGTCGTCATCAAATAACATATCTGATAACAGATGGAACATTGCTAGGTAAATAAAATAGAACACGGAATAATATACTTGAAAAACAATTGATATCAGCTGTAAAAATAACGTTTATTTCAGGTAGCTATACACATCATGATTTTTTACCATGGGATGATGATGTTGATTTACGTGTTTCAAATCGTGATCGACAGCGTATGCTCAATCTTGCTTCTCAAGAACTTAGAAATATTATTAGTGTAGCAGATGTTACTGAAGAATATGGAACTTATCATAAATTTTATTTTCCTTGGTCACCGCAAGCAGGTAAACAAAATTGGTCTTATCCTTGTGTTGATGTGTTCTATTTTGATGAAAACTCTACTCATATATGGAGAGTAAATTCTGATGAAAAGTCAATGAATGATTGTCCTGTATCTAAACATAATATATTTCCACTTGTTTGGCGTCCTTTTGGACGAATCTGGTTGCCTGTAAGTTTTTTTGAAATTCCGAAAAATAATAATCATACATATAAATCTATGTGTGACTTATAGGCCCCACGAGAACCACTAATCATTTTTGAAATACATCGATGGACAACAATAGGAGAATGGTATTATGCTAAGAATTATTCACATAAATATGAACGAACATTATCAATTATGAATGATCGTGCACGACCCCATGAACTTTATCCATATTATCCTTGGGTACAACGATCTTGTTCTCAAACATATTGCATTGAACAATTGATCACAATGTACAATAATACAAATGTTACAATACATACTGTTCAATTTGAAAAATATAGAACAAAATTAATTATCAATCCTAAATTTGAGATTAAAAATTGTTGGTTATAACATATAATTATTTATCTATTATAATAGTAGAAAACAACGAAGAAAATTCGATGTAGGTTGTAGATATTTTTTTAATAATAAAAGTAAATATTAAAGTAAGAATGAATATAATATAATGAGAATTTTCAAATACATTATATTCAAATCATTTTGAGATATATTATATAAATTTCTTTGGACTTTTATGATATTGTCAGTTGTTTAAATGGCTTAAAGAAAAAAGGCGCTCATATTTTCATTATAGAAGATGCATAAATGGGAACTACATTGTCACATCGATTGAATTTCTTATCAGTATTTCAACGAAGATCAAAATCACGTATTAAACATGCTCATCAAACATCTGAAGAAGAGTCAACAGAAAATAATACCGATCAATTATCAGTAAATGATAATGATACTCCAATGAGTAATATAAATCTAGTTGGAGAACTTGTACCTGAACGATATTTAGTTTTACTTACCGAACAAATGACTGAAATGCTCTTTCGTTTAATGACTTGTAATGATACATTTATATTACTAGCCGAAGGTGGATCTGATTATCGAACACCATTAGGTAAGAATATTGATAGTGTTAATATAACAACTCCAATGAGTACACCAAACTCAAATCATATACGAAGTCAATCACCGTTACAAACACAATCCGTACATCAACCATGTATTCAATGTAATATGAAAATGTTGACTATTGAAGAATTTCATGAATTACACAATGCATTTCGTCAAGTTGATAATGATCGCGATAATTTTCTTACACGTGATGAAATACGAATGACACTTAATTATCTATTTGAACTTACTGAATATGATATTAAAGAAATTATTTCCGTATTTGATATAAATAAAGATGATCGAATATCATTTGAAGAATATATAGGTATGAAGATATTTATATAATTCTAAATATGATAGAATTATTCTAATAGAAGAAATGAAACATCGTTTATTACATGAATTTACACGTGAAGAAATTAAAATAGCTTTTGATCAAGCTGATGTAAAACAAAATGGTCATTTACGTATCGATGAACTTAAAAATGCCATTGGTTATTTAAATTTACATTTACCTAATCGACGAATAGTTGAAAGTATAATACAATCTATATCTATTTTTAGTAATATGAAATCATCAAAAATATTTCATTTAGTTGTGAATGATTGTACGAACAATGAAACAATTGATACTATTGATTTTATACTTTTTACAAATATTGTAAAATCATTACATCGTCGTGAGCCTATTACACTACAGAAATTCAAACCAATTCATCATTTTACCACTATACCAATAACTTCATAATCTTGATTTGATCATTCAAAACAGTATTAATCTAATCTTATAAATTCATTTGATAAATATATATAATAAATCATCATTCGGTACATAGTTAAAAATGTATTGCTAATTTCCCATAATTAAAGACAAGAAAAAACTCATATTACAACGAATCAAATACGTTTAATTGAAATAATCATTAAAAAAACATACTGAATACAATATCTTCGACTAATTGCAATGAAACTGCTCGCTACAATCAAATATTGTTGTAGACAGCAACTATGATTTTCATTATTCAAATACTTATATCATACTTTTTTTTTGGTATGACTAATATCACGTGTACATATAAATACAAAGGAAAAAAAAATCTTACACTGATGAGAGAAAAAAAAGAGAAGTGCAATGAAGCAGAACGGAAGAAGCATGTGCTTTCATTTACATTAGAATACTACGGATAGTTACAACATGTTTCAAGGATACTATGGACGTCGTCGTTTAAAAAGTATATTAATAGGATTTTTAGGTTTTCTAGTACTGATAGTACTTCTCCGTCGACGTAATGGTAAGATTTTAATTAATAAAAGATTTATCAAAATGTTCATATATAAATATTTTCTTTAAGAACCAGAAATTGTATCACCTCCTACACTGCCACCTAGTACAGAATCAAAAACTCCAGCACCACCATTAGTATCATTTCAAAAATCAGGTGTCTTATCTACGATTGGATTTACAAATTCTCCTTATTTAGACTTAAAATCATATCCATCCGATTTTATACCTGTTATGGTTTTATCTAAAGCAACGAATATTGAAGTACGTGATGCTATACGACGTACATGGGGTTTTTATAGATCATATCGTGGTAATGATTTACGAGTAAAGATATTTTTCATTATTGGTACTCATGATTTTATGACACAACGTATACTTATGGAACAAAATGTTTTTGATGACATTATTCAAGTTACTGTACCAGATATGTATTCATTTGGTGCTCATAAAGAGCTTGCTGCTATGATGTGGGTACGAAGTTATCTACCAAAACATAAATTTTATATTAAAACTGAAGATGATGTTATCATTAATATGAAAACATTAGCAGATGAACTTATCCCAATAATAGAATCTGCTTACAATCAAGATCATATTATTGGTTGGTTTGGTCACGAACATGTTATACAAAGAGGTACCTATCAAAAATTTATTGATGCTGTAGTACCACCATCATCAGCTGATTTGAATTATGCAATGAGTTTATTATATGTTATAACAGCAAGTGCTGCTGATCGTATGATTGAGACATTAAATCAAGTTGAACTTATTGAATATCCAGGTGATCCATTTGTTACCGGTATTCTTCGAGATGCAGCACATGTTCAAATCAAAAATTTAGCAACAGCTGCACAGAATTTTACATATGAAATCGCTAATGGAAAATGTAGTGTTGCATTTACAAAAGATCCAGACTTGTTAGTATGCACATCGTCATTACATATTGGTTCTCTTAAATCTATGCCGGAATATTTCACTGCTTGGAATATACTAATCGGAGAAGTTCAAGCATAAACTGATGAAAACTATAATTTATTTAAAAAAAAAGGCATAGGAACAGAAAATATTTAAGAGAATACATGAATAGATAATAATAAAACTAATCTAAATTAACTATTTTTTTATACATAATATGATTTATATTCAAGTAGAATATAATATCTAAATTTAGTTTTTTTTGTAATAAAAAAAGATCAAAGTCATCAGAAGTTATAAACTGATTGATTCAACGACAGAGGTCGCATACATATATATATACCATGGAGTAATATATCGTTATATATTTTAAATGATCCAACAGACGCGCGTACTTTGTTCGTTTTACTGGTTTTGAAAAGGACTATCTGATTCATCTTATCTCTTGAAAAGTCATTTGTTCGTTTAGTCTTTTTTTATAATCATAGAAACATTTTGTATGGCATCAGCTGCTGTTCCTATTAACAGTCGTATTCCACCACCACGTATCTATGGTAGATAAGAATCTAATCTTGAAGAAAATTCGATCTGATCATATATATATATGTTTTGTTTTTTTCCATATAGCTTCTATTAATCGACGGCGATCAACAACTGAAACAAAGCAGGCATTATTTTTTGATAATAATCAAGATCATGAAAAGTCAATGAAAAGAAAATTTAAGAGATTGTATTTTTGAAAGAGATATATTTATTTAATTTAGATGTCTTATTGAAGAAAATGAATTACGTGAAGTTAATCGACGTCAATTAATACGAATTGAATTGCTTGAACGTGATTATCGACAAGCAGATGATGATATAATTCAGTTACAGAATGAACGTGATCTTTTATTAAAACAAAAACGAATGTAAATCAAACTATTTCTATGAAAAGATAAATAAATTCTATTAAAAAAAAACTCTGCTTATTATAGATTAGAAGAAGAACTTGGTCGTTCATCACATCATGCATCAGCTAACGTTGACCTTCATGTTTATACACAAAGACTTGAAAATGAATGCCGGGATCTACGATGTCAAATAACTATACGTGATAACGAAAAAATTGAATTAAACGAAATTATAGCAGATTTTGAAGCACAAGTAAATATAATTCATAGATTACTCTTAGGAAAATAAAGACAATCAGAATTAAAATACCAAAAATAATAGAATAGAATTTATATTTTTCGTGCGGTTATTCTTCCATACAGAAGACAGATTGTTTAATAACACAATAAATCTAAGGATCAATTTTTTAGATTTTATATAACTCTTTTCAAGGACTATTCTCATAAAATATGAAATTATTTTCTTTTAGATAAAACAAGCGCGTGATCGACAAGAAGAATGGCGAGAAGCTTGTAGTGAACTTGAAACATTATTAGCAACAGAAACAGTATAATTATCGATATAATTTATGAAAATTTTATCCAATTATTTTCATAGGAAACTCGTCAATGTCTTGAAGTTCAATTAAAAGAAACTAATCTTCGACACAAAGAAGTTGGATTTCAAAATAAATCAAAATTTTTCTTATTTAATAATATTTAGAATGAAAATCAAATTTATCATTTACAAAAAGATTTAGATGAAATTATTTTAGCAAAACAAGAAATAGCGAAATCGAATTATATTTTAGTTCAAAATGCTGAATCACTTCGTGAACAACTTCGAATGTATAGAAAAAACAAGAAATATATATAAATCTATTAATATCTGATTATAATTTCTAGAGCAAGAACACAAGCTGCTGAAGTTAGAATTATTTGCCCTTCATCTAGTTCATCCTTCGATAATTTTGATGAATCTTTATCATGTCTTGTATACGATAATAATAATATTAATGATGCGAATGATAATACTCCTGATTGTGAAAGTATCAATAATCAATCAAAAACTTGTCAATCATCATTATTTAGTGAAATCAATTCTCTTGTATATTTCAATTGATTATAATTAGTATTAAAAAATGATTTTTTTCATCTTTAGGAAACAATGTCAAATGAAATTATTACAAAATATCTTAATGGTACAACCGATGATATTGAACTTGATTTACTTTTAGCGAAAACAACAACACTTTCATCATCGCTATCATTACTTAATCAATTAGTTAAGAATATTTTTATAAATTTTTTAATAATTAAACATCTGTTTTATTAGATTAATGAAGTTAAATATCTTGATGATTGTTTCATTGAACAACAAGGGAATGATTCTCGTTTTGAACAAGAACAAGAACGTTTATTAAATATGAAAAATTTATTAAAACGTCTCCTAGAAAATATACAAGTTTTTGATACGAGGTTATAATAAATAAAAGATTTTACAAAATAATATTTCTCTTCCTTTTATAGATTTCGTAAATTGCAATTGTTATTGATTGCTAGTCGAGGTATGCTTGTAAATTTTCTCTATCTTTACATAGTAGACTAATTGGACTCTTATTAGAATGAAGTAGATAGTTATGACATAAAACCGAGAAAGGTCGAAGAATACATTGAATTCCTAGATTATAAAATAGTGCAATAATTTATATCGAGTCACGTAGATACTTCAACAAAAAAGTTAATCAGTTGAAAGACTTCTTTCGTAATGCTTTTTTTTTAAACTTATGAAATATCTTTTCTATTTATAGAACAACAGCAATGTTATCAAGCTGAACTCGATGATTTCTTTCGTTTGGTTGATAAACGTCTTATAACTGATGTTGAAGGATTATGTGATAGTTCATCTAATCAACGATGTCGTCTTATATCTATTCTTGAAAAATATGAACATGAACTTGATCGTTTGCGTCAAGTTAATCGTACCAATGATGATACTGTATTGATTTATTTTATTTTATATAATAACTAATTCTATATTCTAATAGATTCGTTTATGTGAACGACAAATTGTTGAACAACAAAATATGACAAGTAAATGTCGAATGCAAAATACGTTCCTAGAAAAAAATCAACGAAAATTACTCGATAAAATCAAGTTAGAAATTGAAATATACAATCATAATATCTAGTTTATCTTTTTTCTTATAGAGAATTAAATATTGAACGTCGACAATTAATTGGTAATAAGAATTTTGTTTTTTGCTAAATCAAGTTTCAGTAGTTGAGATTAGAATCAGAGTAGTTCCAGCAATACAGTAGAATATATGATAGACAATAATAGTTTTTTTTATAAAAACTTATAGAATCAACAACACAGAAACGAAATCGTCGACGAGCTATGCCAACCGTTCAAGTAGAACAACAGCAAAAGAAGGTAAATAAAAATTTGAAATTATTAAATTCTTCAGTTTGCTACTAATTCAAAGTTATTTAGCCACCATTAGTTTTACCTCCACCATCCGAGAGTGTACTTCATCAACAGCAGCAGCGTTGTAAGTTATTTGAATCTTTCTCTATTCAATATATATATGTATGTATATTTCTTATATTATATATAGTAACACGTTCTCGTTCGCTTCCGTACTTAAAATGTTCTAATAATGGTCGTAAATCTCGTAATGATTCCGGTATTGTCTTAAGTGATGAAATTCTTAATATTCAACCATTATCAACAATTCATAATCGTCGTCGTATAAAATCAAATGCAACAAATCAATTTGTTATGCATACATCAAGTCATGTATGTATTCAAAAAACTAATAATAGTATAAATTCTAATAGTAAACAATTCATGCGTATTATTAATAGATTTCATTGGTTTTTTCATATACTTTCTCTATTTATTATATCATTACTTCTATTTTCATTTATGAAATTCTATTCTTTTGATAAATAATTAATGTAGTATATTTTTTTTCTCTTCTTCTATATATGTGTGTGTTTCATTTCATTATATAGTACTTCTTATTTGATCAATATTAATAAAATGTATCTATGTAATCAAGAATGAAGACCTTTTTTTTCCTCTTTTTCTTCAGGGTATTTCTAAATCGAAGATGAGATGTTTAATTGAGCGTATGTTATTGTGAGAAGGTCATATTCATGGTTAAACATCTATATAGATATATACATACACTCATCCATATAAAGATAGAATAAAAAGAGAGAAATACGAACACACAACAGAAACGAAGAAAGAAATGACAATTATCAGACTTCGATTATTTCCTGTTCAGCAAGACGAGCGTTCATCATGGTTGATGATTCATTGCCTGAAGGGTTTGTGATAGGCATCTGAGAAAATGTTTTCAAGGTTCGTGGAATCGTATTCGAAGATGATAATGATGGTTCTAGTTGAGATGGAATTGAAGAAGAAAAATAAGTGACAGTTATAAGTTGACCATCAGGAGATAGACTAACATTTGATGGGCTTGATAGTAGATGACAACGTTGTTGTTCAATACTTGATGATGTCGTTTCGTAACCACTGTCTCGTACACGATTATAAGATGATGGAGAAGAGGAATGCTCTAAATATGAATAAAATTTAAATAACTTTTATTTCTCAAAAATGATAACTTACGTTCACTAGAATGAATATCACCTATAATATCATAGGCAGTATGATGTGATTTTGATGAGAATGTTGTAAATTCATTTGTATTTTTCATAACTTGATTAAATTGACCAAGAAGATGCTAAATTGAAAAGAAATTAGCTTTTCTTTTGTGAAAGATCAAATATATTTAACTGTCATTTATGTTTGTTATTAATCATATATTAAATACATCTCCGATCTGTCATGTTATGTTTCGTTAATTAAAAAGGATTAAATGAAATAAAATACTATTCAACATGTCTTGTATTTTGCGTCATCTCATGCAGCACGTACACAATCTCCTTCAGTATAACAACAAAAAAAACAGCTTAATCGATTCATGATATATATGTATACAAAATAAATATTTCAAGGAGATCTAGTACCGATAAAATCATTTATTTCAATTGAATGTTGAACGTGCATTCAATGTATCTGTCACGATTACATGTAAATTTAATTGTTGTAGTTGCCACAAGCGAGATGCTTGTCGCTTGATGACATTAAATAGATAATCAAATTTGTATAGCAAAATTCTTTCCACTCTAACGCTTACTCACATTTGACAGATAAGAGGAACAGTTCTTTTACAGTATTTTTCTCATCATCTTCGCTTCGTTATCATTTTCCATTTTCTCAATCATCAATAGAGACGACGCTTTTTGAATGCATTTTTAATTATAAAAATGTGCCAAATGACAACGAACAATGTCGTTGTTGTCATTTCCCTATCGTCAGTAGCAGCGGTAATATAAGCACGAGTCATCGCATCATCGAACAATGAATAAAGAATGTCACAGCAAGGGGTAACATATGGAGACAGAATTAACATTAATTCGTACGTTTTTTATTTTTTTGACACCATCTGTTCTTATTAAAATGACAAGTTTCTAGTCGTTTACCTGTTTTTGTTCATCATCAACAATCGAATGATTTATATTTTCATTTTGCATCATTTTATTATTTCCATCCATCAATGATGATGTTAATGAATGTTCACCTGGTTCATTTTCTAGTAATGGTAATTGTGTTTCAGTTGGACCTTGAAGACGATAAAGTGTTCCACCTGTAGTACCATTATTACTTCGTAGTTTTTTTTGTTGACGTCTTCGTCGATAACGTAACGATGAAATTGATGGTGATGAGGATGTTGATGATGATGATGATGATGAAACAAATATTAATTTAATAGCAACTAATGCAATGATAATTGCAATTGATAATAAAACAAAAAGAAGTATAACATTAAGTAATGTTAAATCAAAATATGAATGTGAACGTTTTGATGTTAAATAAAGTGCTTCTAAATATTCACGTGCTGTATCTAATGCTATTGTTTGATTTGTTTCATTTGTACCTATTGTTACTACTAACTGAATCGTACGAATACATGGTTTATCATTATGATTAACTAAATCTCGAAGACGAAATTGTAAAATATAATATTCACGTTCTGGTAATGTATAAGCTTGTAATAAAAATTTATTACGTTCAATTTGTTCAAGTTGAAATATATCATTAAAATTGAGTAATTCAATTATACATGTATCATTATCACCATCATGTATATCTAAATAATATTGATTATCAACTTTTTCACTTGAATTATTCATCCAAAGATCCATATTAAAAAATAAAGCACTAGAATTATTCATTAATTCAGGACAAAAGTCATTACGATTACGAATATTTATTGTTACAGGTACATTGGTACTAAGACCACCATTGTCAGTTGCAATAATAGAAAATTTATAAATTGAACGACGTTCATAATCAATACCTGAGAAAATTGATTATTTATTTAATAAAAAAGAACAATAAAACTTACCAACAGATGTTGATTTTAGATATAATGTTCCGTTCATTGTTAATCCAAACGGCCATTCATCTAATATAGTTGATTCATTACTGAATAATGTATAATGTAAATCACTATAGTATTCATCAGCATCAGTTGCATGTACATAACCAATTGGTGCAAGTTTAGGCCATGTTTCATCTATTTGAAATTCATATTCAGATAAATCAAATATTGGATAATTATCATTAATATCAATAATATTTATTGTACAATGAACGATTGATGATAATGATACTGGTTGACCATGATCAAATGCAATAATATCAAATTCATATAGAGATTTTTCTTCTCGATCAAATTGATTAATTAAATATAATTCACCTGTTGTTGAATTTAAGAAAAAATTTGTTTGATTTGTATTTGTATCATTTGTAAATTGATATTCAATTTGACTATTCGGAGTATTTTCTTCATCATTATCAATAGCATGAAAATGTAAGAGTTTTGTATTCGATGGAATTTGTTCCGAGATATTAATCGAATAAAATTCTTTATCAAATTTAGGTGCATTATCATTTACATCAAGAATAACTAACGTAAAATTTAATGAATTGGAAAGTGATGGATTACCATGATCATGTGCTTCAAGAAATATTTCATAGCGTGATTGTTCTTCACGATCAAATATCCGTTGAGTAAACATAAGAAAAGCTTCGTTATTCAATAATTCTTTAATAGTGATAGTGCCATTACTCTCAAGTGACCAACTTACTCGACCATTGTCCCCCTGATCTAGATCACTGATTGAGATATGACCCTATTGAAAAAAATAGATATGAATAAAATCACTAAATATAATTAACTCTCTTTTTTTTAAGATTATTCCCTTCAATAAGACAAAAAAAAATGAGAAAGAAAATTCGCCTCGTGGTCCAGATGAAACATGCGAACACGCACATCTATGTATGTATGTATATATATATATATACGTGTCACTATTGGGAATTCTAGTGGAAAGCGAAAGATTAACTTTGAATCAAGGTCGAAAGTAGAAAAAAAGACCAGTAGAATTTTTTTTCTCATCACGCATACAACGGGAAATCGAATCAAATATGAACAGATTTAGATCTATTAAAATAAAAGTCAAGGTTAACTTACTAAAAATGTCCCATTTGGTGCATTTTCAGGAATTTGTATAATACTACTATTTAATACATGTTTTACACCTAATGTTACATCATCATTAAACATTGATGTTATTATTGGATAATTATCATTTTCATCTTTAATTTCAATATCAATTGTAGCAAATGCTGATATTGAACCTTGTTGTGGACCATTATCTTGTGCTTTAACTTTAATACGAAAAGATTTTTCTTTTTCATAATCAAGTTTCTTTCCAAGACGAATTTCTCCTGTTTCTTTTGCTAATATAAATGTTCCATTTGATGGTGGATCTAATGAAACAATTGTATAATAAACAAGACCATTAAGACCAGTATCACCATCGAATGCATGTACACGTGCTACAAGTGAACCTGTTGACGTTGATTCACTTAACAGTACACGTATATCACTTTGATCAAACACGGGTGACATATCATTAACATCAAGGATATTTATACGAATATTTAATTTGCCTATAAGGGATTGTGGTTGTCCACCATCATAAGCTTGTATAATATATTGTAATGAATCACATAATTCTCTATCAAGTACTTTCATAAGACGTAATGCAAGTAAATCATTTTTCTTTGAATATTCTATTTGAAATGCTTGTGTAATTTTATTTGTTAAATTTTTATTTGTTGAATTTTCTTCTAAAAGTTTATAACCTTGTATAGAATTTATACCATAATCAGGATCAATAGCAACATCAATAGGTATTAAATAGCCAATAGGTACATTTTCTAAAACATCAATTGTTATAGAAGATTTTGGAAATTGTGGTGCATGATCATTTTGATCATCAATTATAACAGATAAATCATTGAAATAAATTTGTCCCATATGAACGCATAAAACTTCTAATGTTATTTCACATTTCGAACAAGAACACACACGACGAAGACAAAAATCATCACGATCAATTAATTTTTTTGTTGTAACACGTCCAGTATATGGATCAATAAGAAAAAAATCATTGGAATTCTTTTGACTATCAACAAAACGATATGAACCAGTACTATTTTCCGTTTTACAACCATCTGTTATAAATGTATATATCGATGTACCAATTGGAAGATCTTCAAGTATATGTATAGATTCTTTTGGCAGAGATGAAACCAGAAATAAAAAATTGATAAAAAATAAAAATTGAAACATTTTCTTCTAATATTTCTTAATTGTGTTGCTTGGCTAATTTAAATGAGTCAATATTGTCGTCGTCATCATCATTATCATCAGCAACTGTATTACTGTATGTATGTTTGCATGTGAACAGGAACAATCTGTGATAGAAGAAGGGAAAGGATTTCCTCATTAATATACGACATATTGAACACACACATACATATAGACAGAAGAGAGCGAGAGAGACAGAGAGTAAGGAGAAAGAGAAAATGAGAAAGAGGGAGAGAGAGAGAAGAAAATTAACACTTAGACTCATAGCAGCACCATCGTGAAGGAGGAGAAGAAAAAGAGAAAAAAAACTACTCGTTCGAGTTTTTTCCTTTTTTTCCGGCAAAGAAAAGAAGAGAGCAGAGACACGCGTACATTATAACTGTCTGACCGGTGTCTTGAAAAAATGAGCCTTTCCGCTCACCAGGTCCAATGGACAACTGATTACCTCTCTTCTTTTCCTTGCTAGCTATTCTTATTAGTCTCAAGTTACCTTCTTCGTCTTTGTCTCCTCCTTGTTTGCTGCTTTTTTTTTGTCTCTTCTATATTTTTTTTGCTCTCGCTCGTTTTCTTCACATTTGAGCGTTGACCGAATATGAACAAAAAAGAAAAAGAAAAAGAAAAAAGACTGTTCACACGAGCCGCCACTAAATATTCTGTGAAGGACGTAGCCAATTTTGCTAGACGGAATGGGTATGCGTGTGTGTGACCATACATTTATATATGTCAAATAAGAAGACAAAGACAATGATTGACATACTATGATCAGTTCAATGAATATGAACAAAAATCACACCTTTATAAACTTAAAATTGACAGTCTTTATGATTACTTGAATGTTTGATATTGACTTTTCATTCATATATTGTTTTACTTTCCTTTTCCATTATGTATAATAACTCATATATGATCATCAATTGAAGGATATGAAAAATCAACATACAACAGATGGATTTTATGCTTGAGATGAACGATTATCATTCTCATTTATAGCATTACCCAATGCATCAAACAGCACCAATTGGCACTTGAAAAAAAGTTATAGATCCAAAATGTATCGACCTCTCTATGATGGTCTCTCTTTCAAGATGATTACGTAAAATAAGAGACACAAAAGGCGAGAAAAAAAGTCTTCAACAATGATAATTGGTAGTCTACTCGGTATGATGCAAGAAACAAAAAAGAATCTCAAACATACTTTCATATACACATTTCCGTTTTTGTCATTTTTAATGCAGGTGAACGCCTTTGATTTACATCTAAGAGAATGGTTATGTCTCTATTTGTAATTTAAAGACAATGTTATAAATATATTAATATGATGATGCAAACATCTTTCTCTCTCTCTCTGTATATATATATATATATGTGTACAAATGGAAGGGAATAGTGATCATGTCTTTTGTTCATCAAGAGAGAATTGAATAATGCTTGTGAAAACACACACAGCAGTAACAATGATGGTAGCCGCATAATCGTTATTATGACTGTTTGTCCAATTGTGTTTGCCGTTTTCTTTCTATACACATTATAATAGTTCACTCGTTTCTCGACAGCATAACGAGCAATGTCAGTCGGATACATGACGTTAATGATGTGTTTTCACAGATTCGCTAGCGTTTGTCAATATTACCATCGTTTATCTCTTATTATAGATGTATATAGCTAGCCTAGTTCTAATTACGACATATTTCGCTCTCGGGTGGTGTAACAGATGTTTTGAACACATACTTTCAATGAAGGACAATCAAAGAAAAGGTTTTTCTTTTCACTTTTTCTTTATGCGTGTACAAGTGCTTATTGAGAAATTGAAAGACTGTAGATCACTTGTTTTGTGCACAATAAAGAATTTGATAACTTTTTCAAGAGCGTCTTTTTATATTCTCACTTGTCATATGTATATACATATATTTTCTTTTTTTTATTCATTATGTGAATATACTTCACACTTGCTTACTTATACATCATATATATATTGATATATCAATACATAAATCTGATTTTTTTCTTTCTTTCTGTCAGTTCAACACTCGACACATAAGTATAAACGAAAGCCAATGATACCAGATCGTCTGCATGACTAGCTATTGTGTAATCATTATTTGGTTACATATTGTCTGTCCGACATATTTTTATCTTTATATGTATACATACATATCACAAGGTGAAGAAACAAATTGTTTCACACTAAGTCCTCGCTTATTTCAGACACATCAATGAGAACATTTCAGACACACGACAATGCCTCATTAAATCATGTGTATGTAAGTAAGAGTGGAATAGGTGACAAAAAGCTTTTTACTATAATTCTGTTCGGTTAAGATGAATACATTCCCAAAGAGGATAGACATTGAACTTTCTTTTTTTTTTTCGCTATTTTTTTACTCTTTCTATCCATGAGAAGATTAGTCGGGACAACTAATTGCTTATATGGTCATTACCGTATATGAAGACATACGCGTGCGTGCATTTCCGGTCACCGTATTTGAAGGGAATAATGACATAGGATAGTCGCCGGCGGCAAAAGAAGGGAAATGGAACCGTTCATTGTATGAAATATAGAGAAAAAGTTATACATCAAAATTGAGCTTCAATGTCTCTATCAATGTTAAAAATCGACAATGAAAATGAGATACTATACCTCTCTGTAGGGAATGATGAACGATCTAGAAATTAGAAGGGAAATGAGATTGTATTCAAGATTACTAATTTGGAAAGATTATATCTTTAAAACAAAGGAAATACTAGAGTATAGATTCATTTAATAATCATTAATGATACAATCAATATCTATATCATTATATCGAATAGAAAATGACTTCTTCTTCTTCTTCCTATTACAATATTAAAAAACATTACCTACGGATCAGTAACTATTTTTTTCTTTTCAAGTTTTTATTCATCAAAATTTACTTTATTCGGTTAACTCAATAATAACTACTAATTTTCTTAAATTTACACATATGAATAAAATATACGGCAGGTGCATTTAAATGAAACAGATTATATAATATAATTAGCTCATTATTCATTAAAACAAACGTGCTGATATAAAAAGACAAATTATTTAACATAAAACTATATTTAGTACGCTTATTTTTTTTTTTTTGAGAATTAATGGCATACAACCTTAGCTAATGGAACTGTATATGACATTGAAGAACAAATGAAGAAAGCCCGATGCGTTCATATAATAAGACTGCACCGTAATGTTTCAAGATATTTTAATGTCCTTGTAACCGGTCAAGGACAAGGTTGCAATTCTCTTCTTTCTATAGAAAATATAAAAACTGACAAAAAAAATTAAGTTTCAAATTATCATCACGAAACAGAATTCTTTTTTTTTCTTCTTTTTTAAACGATCATTGAATTTGAAAGTAGTACTTTTGAGATATTATATTATTTATGAAGGAATTTATATGATTATTATTGTTAATGATTTCTTCTTTTTTTATGAGATTAATAGAAGTTCTGAAGGATAATTGTTCGTAAATCTTTTTCTGAAATGATGATAATTCTAACTGATATAATAAGAGAAATGATCTAATCTGCAGAATGAACAACCTTGAATACAAATCATTTTCATTTCTTTCTAATATGATAAAATGAATTCTTAATTCATCAGATAATGTGCACTATTTCTTGAATAATACAATATTAATATCAACGTTTTGAGAATCTTTAATTACGATCTAAATTTCAATCGATCGCAAATGATTAAAGTTGAAAGTGTATGTTTATACAAATATATTATAACTATCAAATCATTTGTTATTATATTTAGGTGTACTTTGTCAATAAAACTAATATAGAACGACATATGATTTTATCTATTGATAATCGATTAACAACTACATATAATTATCAAATAGTACTTTTGTTTTGAACAAAATCATCTTTCAAATTTATTTACTTTTTAACTTGAACAGCACGCAAAGCATTAATTTCACATTCATACTTACTTGAATTCTATTGAACTTTAAGTAATCAATTCTTGACGTAAATATTTTTTCTAGCAATAAAATCCAATTTCTTCTTTATTAACTATTAATGCAAACATTCGTTATTTGTTCAAGTATGAAATAATAAACACATTTTATGTGTGTACTACAATTTCCATTCTTTTTTTCCTATTAAAAAAAAAGAAATAAATATTACTTAATATAATCCTCTTATTCATTTGAAACATTATTAATACAAATTCGACATTCTTATAAATCCGAATGATTTAAATCTTGTAAAAATCTTATTCATTTAGTTGAGTTTATATAAAAAGATTGACATAATTTGTTACTACTATTGATAGTTTCAATATGCTGCCTATTAAGCAATGATTAAATACAATATCGAACATTTTGTCTTCAATGAATTCGAGTTGATATATGTATTGAATCAATTATTTTAACTAAGAAAGTTTTGCAAATCTCCGTTTTCATTCCTTTGTTTACCTATAATAAAAAAATGTTTCATATGAATAATCAGTTTTTAATAGAATTAAATTTCTTTAAATTATGCAATAATTTTACTATTGATTCTTTCAATACATTATTTCTTAGTTCTAATTAACATATACAATAGTATTTGCAAATAATGGATTTCAAGATCAAAAAAAAAATATTAATTATTTCTTGATTTTTTGTATTTAAATATATGTTCATCGTTATTAAGAAAAATAAATCGAATTCCCATGATAATTTTATTTTACTCTACATTTGTCATTATTAATCAATAAAATCAACAAGAAATATGATCATTTAGATTATTCCATTGAGATGAATAGATTATGATTAAAACATATTTTGTTTGTCAACTATAAATTGATTTTTAAAAACAAGTATAGTTTAAATTTTTTCTAAATAAATTCAATTAATCTAAAAAAAAAGAAATGTTGCCATTGAAATCTGTCAAATTGAGTCATTTATGTCATATCTTAATTATAAAGTGACAGTTACTCATAATTCTCCTAGCATATATTAAATTATATT